AAAAGAGTAAAACTTTTTATGCCAACATATTTGAAGAACTTCATCAAGACAAGCATTAAAATTTTATTTGGTAATCTGTATTCATACACAGAAGTATCATGGAGAAAAAATATCATTAAGTTTCCAAATTTTTAATTAGAGAATGCTCTAAAGTATTCTAAAAATTTACTGCATAAGGGAAGGTAAACTATGGAAGATGCAAAGTGACATCATTTTATTTGATTACCTAACACAAAAGTAACATGGAGAAAAAATTTGTTTTATATAAATTATTACCAATGGATTTCTAAGGGATCCACTTTCATCATCATTATATATAGAATAAAATAAAATAAAGATATCAATAAAACAATTCTTTCATTTAATACTCAAAAAAATAATGCCACGTAGCATCCTTCATAGTTTACCTTAATTCTATGAATAAATACAGGTTACCAAATAAAATTTCTACACCTGCCTTGATAAAGCTCCTCAAGGAATGAAAAACATTGGGTTGGCATAACTTTTCCACATCTTTTATTTATATTGACTTTACAGATATATTTCATTTATATCTGAATTTTTATATATATATATATATATATATATATATATATGAGAGAGAGAATTCTGCATACATCTGAATATATCTCCAGATACATTAACTATTACACACAACAGTATAATTTTATATTTGTTAACTGCTACTTGTTAACTCATATACATACATATATATAAAGAGAGAGAGAGAGAGAAAGATATGTGTATGTAGATAAGTTCCCACACACACACACACATATATATATATATATATATATATATATATATCTGCAACTATATATACATTCATACAGATACATGCATATATTCATTGACATCACTCACCCCCACCCTGCCACATACACACATTCATTCAATTTTCAAAAATTTGTAATTCCTCAATTTTGACAAATATCTCTTTTAAAAAAATAACAAAACTTGAAAGTCAGGAACTCATTCAAGCATATTTTTCCTTCATTTTGAATCCCATGAAACAATAACGATATAATGACAATGATCAAATATAAAGAAAAAAGTCTGTACAAAAATGTTAGAAATGCAACATACATCATGACAAAATAATGTGTGTGGGAAAAAGAAAGAGAATGTAAATTATGTTCAAGCTTAAAATTTGTTGTAAGATTAAGTCTCCCTTCAAATATATTTAAATATTTGCCAGTAAGAGCTTTTTGTTTCTGCTCAAACTGATCACTCTAAATTAAACAGCATTTTAAGGCATAATTAATGAAGCTTGGCTTCTGACTTGCTTGCACATTTTTTTTAAAGAGACTAATCTAAAATATTGGTGATAACCTGTTAACAGTTTTGATAATGTCTTTTTTCTTTTTCTTTAAATCAGTGGAGAGGAAAAGTATTTTTAAGATAAGATGAATATTTTCTCTTCAAAATGATTAAAAAACAAAAAAGTAATAAAATAAATGAAAAATGTTGATAGCCATGAATAAGTGTGTGTGTATGTGTGTGTGTGTGTGATAGAGAATATTGTATAGAGCATTGGTTATTATGCAAGCCATTGTTAATGAGCTTGTTCTTCACTGGGTAAGCTATAAAAATGTGCTAAATTTCATTTAGTCGAATGTCGAAAAATATATATATATATATATATATATATATATATATATAAATAAACATGCAAACACACATGGGATGCTCCAAAAATAATGACTCCTATTTATTTTCATGAAAATGACAATAGATACAGAAAATACAATAACACTGTTGGATAAAGCAAATTGTCAGCAACAAAACATTATTTTTCCACATATTCACCACCATTAACTATACATTTTCAAGGTGCTTCATTTAATGAGTTAAGAACTGTTCGGGAGGCCACTTGGAGCATGACTTGTCCCACACATAACTGTCAACACTGCTGAAATGCATTACCACTGCCTAGCTGAGGCTCACATACACCTTTGCTTTTGGTAAACATTCAGAATGTGTCAATGAATGTCAATGGTTACAAAATTTTCTGCATGGGAGAATTCATTGAAACAACTCAGCTCTGTTTGTACTTTCATGTCAGAGGCCATTTTTGTAACAAGGCAAAAAAAATGTTTATAAGAGTTCAATATCTATAGAAATACTACTAACATCATAAAATAGGATGCATTAAGTTAGGAGCAACCCTCATACATGTGTGTGTGTGTGTGTGTGTGTGTGTGTACGTTGGCACACAAACATGTTTATAATACACATATAAAGTGTAATCAAAAGTTTGATATCAAGCTGAATCTAGTACATCTGGATTGCATAAATGAATCAAGTAAGCTCTATCTTAAATTTTGGTTGTACAGGTTGCTTTCATCCTGTTGGTACTCACTTTTCAAGAGAAGTAAAAATTTTGACTTTAAAAAGTCAAATCTATTTGGTGAATTTCTACTCATGAATGTACAAGAGCAACATATGTGAATGAAATTTTGTGTTAAACTTAGAAAAACTTTCTCAGAAACAACTGCAATATTGCAAGACACTTTTAATAATGAAGCTTTTTGTAGAACCTGGTTCAAATGACACAAACGTTTTAATAAATATGTGCATTAGTTGGCAATCTTTCAGGTTTTTTATAAACTTTCAGCTTGCCTGAAAATATTCCTGACATGCAGAAAAATGTCTTTAAACATCATTGTCTGTTATTTAAACAACTGACTGTAGATATTTCTGAGAAAATCTTTCAAAGCCTAACAAGGTTTTTTGCACACATGCATCTCTTGTATGTCCAATAAGATAATTCAACAAGTGCATTCTAATGCTCACTTCAAAAATTCTTGCTAAAAGTGCACTGTCGGAATGAATTCTTGCAAAAGTAACATGTAAAAAATCAAATATAAGCTACAGATTACTGGCAACTTTTCGAAAACACAGAAACACTAAACTGGACCAGTTTATGAACATTTTATCACACCTACCATGTATATGTAAACACAAAAATTTGGAGGAAACTCCAAAACATGTCGTAAAAATGTTTGATTGACAAGAATATATATAAGTACATCAGTAAACTATGTTTGAGGTAAGGCTGCAAAAGTTTCACTAAAATGTAAATAGCTATTTTTTTTAATCAAAACTCAATCCAAGAGGATCATTTTACCAGCATTCTAGTAAACTTATATTCCTATTATTTTACAAGCAGCATACAGAGAATGTTATAATACACAATATTTGATGAAGATTTAAAAATATAAGCCTCAAATCCAAGTCAAACAGTTTAGAAATGTAGTTGATATTAGTATTAAGTAAATGTTATATTTTATAAGTGTACAAAAGTATTGGTCATAACAGGTATGGAAGTATCAAATGCTTGCCCAAAGTCTACATTGAAACCCAAACCATGGACAACTAACAAAATCCAATTCCATATCAAGAAACCTAATCAACATGATTATATTAAATTCTTATAGGTGCATAAATTTAATGATCATGGGTGGCTTGGGATTTACTCAACATCAAGACAGTCGCTCAGAGTTCCAAACCAAAGCAAGCTACTCAACATATTTGTTCTATTGTTGCAATGCATATTTTAGAAGTACATAAATGTATTATAAATGAGGGAGAAGAAATTATTAACTATGAAATAGTTAATGCATGGCAAAAACACATGCTTCAAATGTGAAATCAGATGATCAAGCTGTTTATGTCAATTACGTTTTGCAAATTTTAAAATGTACAAAACTGTATTTACAATTTATTTTATGCACATTTTCCAACTAACTACATTCATTTTTTGCAAAGATGCAAAAGCCATACCATTTGAACTTAAGATTATTTTTTAGCAAAGAGAATATGACAGTTTCTCCCTCACCAATCAAATTCTACAAGATTGCTAATATACATAGCAGTAAAATATAGACACTTTAGGAACCATATTACCATTGATGCACATTGTGTGTTGTGTGTTTGTGTGTGTGAAGGTATTTATTTACATACTTATACAAAAGTATCAACATTGAAAAAAAATTAAATAAATATTTTAAGACAGAAATATACACTGACCTAAACAATTTGACCATTTTCTAAATAATGATGAAGAGCCCAAAATAAGCTTAGGCAAAGATGGAAAGCAAATTCAAAGATTGGTAGGTGGTTAAGTGAGTGGACATGGTGGTGTGATCAGCCAAATGACCAAACAGGTTTCCTTAAAATTTACCATTGCTACTAACAAAATCACCATTCCAATAAGAAACAGTACTGCTGATCCTAAATGTGGTGGTGGTGGTGGTGAAGGTTGCGGTTGTGATAGTAGTGGCGGTGATGGTTGTAGTAATAATTGTAGTAATATGAATATTAATAGTAATAAATAAGGCTATCTTTTTGGATTTTTTTGTTAGTTTTTTTTTTTTCTTTCATACTTTATAATATTAAAACAAATTTTTGGGCTTAATTGTTTGTTATAATTATTACAGTTATTGTCTGCCCAAAAAATAATAACCGGTTGACAATGGGAAATTGATTTTTGAGGGATATTTTAGGGTTTTGTAATGTTTCCTTTTCTATTTTTTCTGTTTTTTTTTTTTTTTTTTTTTTTGTAGAGGTCCTTATCCCAAAATTAACAGATGTGAGGGAAATAAATGTCTCCAAATTCTCCTCTTTCACAGTAGATCAACGAGGTTTGTATCTACAATTTAATTATTTATACATAGTTCTCAGAGGTCTTTGTTAGTTTCATATATATATATATATATATATATATATATTCAGAGTAACACAGCTCAGTATGTATAAAACATAAAGGCTAACTATATTGATAAATATTATAAAACTTTTTTCATGAGTTCATTATTCAAGCTTTACTCATGATATTATTGGTATTTACCCAATAATTACCTTATCATAAAACGTGACTTATATGATCTTTATAAAAAGTTTCATCTTATTCATATCAATATAGGCATATTTTTTATATATGTTTAATTATATTTTCTCTTTTATAGTCTACAAGTCTGGTGCCCACCAGACTACATCTAAGATGCAGGAGTCACAGCAGCTGCCTGTTTAAGTTCGTTCACACGTTCTGGGGTAGGCCCCCAACAAGCTGTACCAGCAGCATTCTGCAAAAATACCACAACTGTTCCATGGGCTGCCTTCATATTCATGTCACCCCTGAGAAAAGAAGTAATAAAAATATTTGAATAATTAAATGAGGAAATACAAGTAGTATATATATTTACCAACATCTGATATACAAAGATATCTAATATCTATGTACCAATCAAAACTCTTAGTATATCTTCCAAACCCATAGCCACCATTTAAATAAAAGTCCGAAGTACATTGCTGATGATTTCAGAAAAATCAATCAAAAATAAGATAATATTTTTTAAATAGGCCATTGTTAGTTGAGTCTAGAAATATCAGGGGTGTCAGAATTAAACCATAAACCTAGTAAAGTCTTGAACATATTAACCAATTGAGACCAGACTATTTCTTGTTAAGATATCATATCAGCAAAACATTTATCAGCCACATCAGGATAAACATTGTTTTCATTGCCTTCATTGTCTACAAATTGTTTTGCATCACTAAATGAGTAAAAAGACCCAGACCAAAGTAATTTCCCACTTTATTAGACACTCCCAATTAGTTAATAATAATTAATTTTATATAAATTTCTGCCCTAAAGACTGATTTCAAACACCATTGAAATTTCCTAAATATTTTCAATTGACAAAAAGTTAGCTTTTATGTATCAATAACTAAACATCTTAATTTTTGATGAAGAATATTCAATCTGAGAGAAAATTCTGTAAAGCATGATATTTCTCATGCACATATATAAATATGTTGGGATTTTCAAAATCATTAAAAAAAAATGATAGCATGTGAACAGAGTTTTCCAGTCAATTCAAAAGAAACCACCAGTCACATTCAATAATTAGTCAATAAGTTACATAAAATAGTTTTCTGCTTTATTTCTGTAAAAATCATCATTTATCTCATATCCGGGAAGACAGTTGTTGAAAAATGATGAATGAAAAATAATTTGATAATTTTAGAACACTGCAGGGTAACATCAAGGCAATAATAAATTGCATTTTATGTCAATATTAAACATTTAAAACTCTTGGTACAAAAGAATTTCCAATCTTATTCTTAACTAATTTGTAACTAACATGATCAAAAATATTTTTCTAAAATTTCTATATCAGTTCTTTCAGTCCTATACAATCAGTAGTTTCTCAAATTTTTACTTACATTTGATTGTGGGTCAGTAGATACATAACCAAAAATTGACTTTTAATTCAGTTTTAAATGGATTTTTGCAGATTTTGCAAATTTTTACCAAAGCCATAAATCAAACATAATTTTTTTTGTTTTATAACACAGAAGCAAATGAATATTTCTTATGGATGATTCAGTAGGTGACATTTCATGAATCAGTTTGACCAAACATGTAATAAACATAATCATCATTCACTTTCCCAAGAGCACTTTCAGCTTCACAATTTTCCAAGTTTACCACTAGTTACCAGTACAGTAACCTGGCACTATTAATTTGTAAGCTTTCACTTACAATCCATCTTTCTTTTGTCCCAATCACAAGAGAATGAACAGAATATTGTAATTGGAAATCAATGGTAGATTAAACAAAGGAAATGACAAAGAATAGTAGCTAAGAATTTTACAGATGAACTGAATGATACAAGCTGACTTTTGCATTTGAGTCTATTATTAGCTCAATTCATTGACTATGTTGCTATGTTTAATAGATGAACTAATTTACATGGATTAAAATATTAAAATCTGTTTGTTTCCCTGTTCCTTAGCATGACTTTCTCTAATAATTAAATAACATATTATTCAGGAAAAATCTAAAACATAAAAACTCTTATAAATGGCAAAGGTTAAAAATAGTTATTGCTATTAGTCAGCCCATTTTCAATTTATAACATCAGCAAACAGAATTAAGATCTTGAAAAAAAAAGTAATCCAAAGAGTTAAAAAATAACTGTAAATAATAAAAGAGTCTAAAGTTGGAGAGGTTAAATAATTTTCCAACAAAGGAAAAGAACTTACTTGGAACAAATATGTTGAAAACCATTTCTATATTCATGCTGCTTGGCTGGAAGGACGATTGTCTTTTGAGTAAACCTGAAAGTACCAATGAAAGCATAATCACTTTATGTTCAGCAAATTAATTGAAGTATTCTTAACATAAATATATAAAATAAATATATATAATAGTTATTAATATGCACATTATTATATCTATAAAAGATGAAATGAATGCAAAAAGTTCATAATATCAATTTAAATTTTAATAGCTATTTAATACAGACATTGTTCATATTACATAAGCACTGGTTGGCAAAATGGTATCACAAATCATTGCTACCAAGTAATGTAATCGATCTTCGCTGAATACTTCATACTTGTGGTTTTTGTGATAAAAACTACGCTATGATACGCTTCAGAAATAATTATTACACAAAGGAGATAAATAGTGGAGTCTGTACCAAATCAAGGGAGATAATTTTAAATTCACCCAAAAAAGATGTTTTTAATGTTCATTGCTTTTTGGTAAAAAAACATTTTTACTAAAAATCAATGAAGCAAGATAGATTAGAAATTAGAATGAGTATTCTAGAGCAATATAAAATCGCCATAATATTTTATTGGCTTTCAATAAACACCAAATATCAATCATATTTTGGGAAATATCAGGAACATAAAAAACAGACAACATATATCCATTCATATTAAATATAATTCATAATTCATTAAATATAATTCAGCCACATGTTGAATTTAACAACATAAAAATAAATTTAAAATTTCACAAATGAAATATTCATAAATAATAAATTGTAGCTCGTAATTTTTTTTAGTAAGCTTATAAATAAATGAAAGAAATATTCATTTTATATGAATAAGCATAAACAGAGAATATGAACACAGTAATAATACAGCCAACAATGAAGTTAAAAATCTATGATCCAAGTATCTGATGATTGCTTCTTTCTATGGAGGAACCACTCAGCCATTCAAGTAGCTAATAAAAAAGAATTAGATTTTACTAAATAAAACCATGCTATATTTTTTTAATCCAAGTCAGAAATATTTTATTAAAGACTTGATCAAATTATTTTTATAAAAAAACATTAAAATTAATTTTCTATTCAACACTTCCAATTTGAGCCAATACATATTTTTTATATCTGATATAATTAACTTATACATGAAAGAAAGGTACAATGGAATAGATCATTGAAATAAATAGATTTATTCTGATTTTGTTATAGCAATAAAAGTTTTGCATGCATTTTATGCTGCTAATTTCTAATTTCATACTGTAATATTTCAATACTTATAAAATATTAATCAAACTCAATATGAAATTGTACTTACTTGCTGGTCTCTAATCTAATCAGAAATTCTGTGGGAGGATCTTTAAACTCTGGCACAAAAATAATGAAGGAAAGTGGTTCTGTTGCTTCTGATAACAAATGCTAACAAGATACAAAAAAGAATGATAAATAATTTTATAACACACAAGAAAACATACAAATTTATAATCACTTGAAAATAATTGCAAGAATCTTAAGTAAAAATAATGTTGAAAGATTAAGTATTTTTCTCCCTCATTTAAGATCCATTTCTTTAAGTTCCTCCTGTTTGAAGCCCTTACTCTTAAGACCTTTAAACCCATATCCTTATCCTCCTCTGCCTTTGACTGAGGCACAAAAACCATGTGGACCCCAAGACTCTAGCCAACCTCCTAAAGGTTTGCAATTTCACCACTGAAGTTTAGTAAGCACTTTTTCTCTGTCTCTGCTTTCCTTTGCTACTACAAGTTCTTTATTCTTGTGAAGAATAACTCCTTAACCGAACAACCTTAGATTAATAAGACACAGCACATCATTTAGAGAATTGTTAATTCAACATATATAGCCCTAACTGTATAATACCCTGGGTCAGTCACCAAATATTGACTCCCTTGGTCAATGTATGTCTGATGTAAATTTTAACCAATAATCACAATTCCCAATGCCATAGTTCAGTGAAGAGTGCATGAATTGGACATGGCCCATCCTGTCATTTTTTCTTCCACCATCATGTCACCTAGTAGAAATCTTCCTATACATTGTTTACCTGCTGGGATGAAATATTCCCCTCAAGAGGCTGTGGCTTTCTTTAGTGGGGGTGGATCCAGCAATGTTTTGATCTCAACAACTTCCTTAATTCTGGTAACTTTCTTTAAAGACAGGAATTCTCTAGCAGAAAGGACAAACTGTTAATAAACCTGTGAACAATTTATTGATGAGAAAATATAAAAGCTGCAAACATCACTCATGCAGTTTGACTTCAGTAATTTCTATTCTTTCCTTCAGACATTGAGAGATGGGTGAAATGCAGGTGTATTGCTAACATCACTGTTGCTTGGAAATTCTACAAAAACAGATGGCAGCATTATCCCTAAGCTGCCAAGTGCAACTCAGTGTCTCTCTGCCTGTCTTCTTCCGCCTGTCTGCCTTTTATCTAAAAATAGCATATGTGTGCTTATAAGGGTAACAGTTTCAATTGAGACTTTGATTAATTAGGCATTCACACAAAGACTCAACACCAGTCATTTTAATAAGCTTTCTGAGTACACTTACCACATAGGATTATAAATAAATCTTCCACAAATATGTCTGGGTTTTGCAGAATTTTAGCAAAATATATTAATCAAAACTTCCTTGGGTTTGTGAGTCCACACAGGATATTTCAGTTATACTGGATTTTACCAAATCTTACTTGGTTTATTTTAGGTTTAAATTTTCCTGAATCTTTCCTCATAAGTATTTTTACAGGTTCAAATTAATATTTTTAACCTAACATTTTTTTCTCATCAGATTCCAACCCTATTTTTCTCTATCTAATATTGCTACTCTTTCACTCAGGATTACCAAGTCTCCCAATACCTCAAATCACTAAACAATATTTCATGCACTAATATGTCTCTTGGAAAATACTCCTTTCTATGCAAACTTCACTCATACATGCATGAATTCTGATTATTAAGTAGGTCTGAACTCAAAACCTTTCTCCTAATAAAATTATCTTTACAGATTGAGTTAAACAGAGAATTCTAATAACCATAATAATTAAGAATTGAACAACAAATTAAGTAAAACTGGTTAAGCATGAAGCTGTTTTAGTAAGAATTTAAAAATGCCAGGAGCAACAGTTGTTGCCTATAAATTTTCAGAGAGTTGACCTATTACTAGTCTCCAACTACAACATACAAATATCAAATGGAATGAAATTAACTTTTTCTTACCTCAAAATGATCAATCATCACTTCCATGAGTTCTTCACAGAAAGGAGGGTTAGCTTCAAAAGAACCACTAAGTGGATGGAATTGAAGAATAGAGCTGAAATGACAAACAATAAAATCAAGAATTTACAGAAAATTAATGAAAAATAATTTTGTTTAACATTATGGAATATAGAAAATCAAATGTACAAATACAAAAAAAAATCAATTCAATGACTATGGCTACAAAAGTCTCTACATACAGTTGAACAGATTTGAGGACTCGATAGACAAACTAAGATATGTAGTCATAAAAGGAGTGAAATGATAGAGAGAGGAGGAGGACAATATATTTCCAACTTGCAGTTTTTATAGATTAAGAAACTTAGAATTCAAAATCCTGGTTAACTGATATCAGAAATGAACATAGCACAATTTCAGCCATCAAGCAGATTCATAGATTTAAAAGTAAATTAATCAAAAGAGATGGAAACACAGGTAAGTAACAATGAAGAAAAGAAAGATCCGTATGTAATGATGATAATAATGTATAAACAGATATGCTAAATAGAAATATATAGACAATAAACAAAAGACAAATGGATACATGAATATCTACAAATAAATTGAAATAGTAGTTGAAATTTAAAGTATTAGGAATGTAGAAAGAGAGTGTAAAAATTATTTTTTTAAATAAGAAAATAGCAAAGTTAGATAATGAATTATTTTGCATAAAAGTTAAAAACTTACCCACGTGAGCCAAAGTAGCAATCTGTATCTGCAAATGCTGAGCAGTATTGTTGGAAATAACAATTTAAAGGAGAGGCAAAGCATTCAAATGTCACTCCAAATATTCGGTTCAAGCATTGGAAGACAGAAATGGGAAGGGCTACCTGCATGCTAAAACCTTCTTTAAACTTGATCCCCAAAAATGTCTGAAAAAAAAAAAAAAAAAAAAAAAACACGCACAATAGTCAAATAGCTTAGCATTAGATAAAAGAATGTGTCTATAAAAGAGGTTTTACAGTACACTAATACTTCTACTAAACATAACAAGAGGTCACTGTCATATGCCCCAGTTGACGAATGGGTTTATAAGGCGATCATATGCCGACTAGGAGATATATACATCCTCACACCTTTGGAGAGATACAAACTATCTCACCCAGATCGTGACAATGGACAATTGGTAAACAAAATATTTTTAAGAACACTGTTCAATTGGGATAATCGAACAGTAATCTTTCCCAGGTCCGCTTCGTTTTTAACACGAATACTGATCCACAATACAAGGATGAACTATAAGGCTTAGCGATTTTTGATACAAGAATTTTAATATGTACAAATATACAAATATCAAAATAAAAGAACATATAAGTATGAGTTAAACCATCCGACGACCAGATCTCAATACTTACGTTGGGATATCAAAATTTGCCTAACACCAAATGGATTCAACTGAACCCAAATATATAAAAATATAAGTATGAATTACTATAAATTGAATGCAGAAGCCAATGCATACACAAAAGAGATGGGATAGGAATTATAATTATTGTTTTTTACATGTGGAAAGGTGTTTGCAAGAACATAATATTCATGGATGTATGTATATCTTTCTACTACGGGTCCAAAATATGATTACTTATTTTTTATATTCAGTTCTCTTTTTTTTATCATTGTCCTTTCTTTTCTTTTCTCGACACAAACACAATTTCACACACTGTCCGGCTGTAATAGAGGTATACACTTTCTTCCTCTCTGTTTTGCCTTTTTCTTTCCTTCCTTTTTCTTCTGTAGACAGTTTGGTTTCCAAACCCAACTCACTGCAACAGGGATGTACACTTTCTTCCTCTCTTTGGTTATCTTCTTTCTTTCCTTCTTCTTTACACACTTCAGCTTATAACAGAGGTATACACTTTCTTCTCTGGTTTTCCGTTTTCTTTCTTTACACAAATCAACTTGTAACAGAGGTATACACTTTCTTCTCTGATTTTCCTTTAAACGCAGGCTGAATCCTCAGCGTGTAAATTTCTCTGCGTCTTCAATTTGGGGTTCTCGAACAGGAATACTTCTTGTTATATTTCTTGTCCGGAGTTGCCTGGGTTGAACTGGATAAGTTCCATCACTATCGAATGCGTCTTATTTTTCCGTTCATAAACTATCAGCGCTTCGGCTTCAGGTCTTGCCTCTTCAAAGTCAAGATAGCAACTGATTCTCGAGTGAATCTCTGACTATCACGTGTCTTAAGTTTTGGCGCAAATTCCAGCTTACATCAGTCTCCTGTCTAGCTTCTGTCTAGACATTTGTCGCTACGTGTAATTGGGTCAGTCAACCTTTTGACCTGCCTTCCCAAAATATCATAAGATTCCCACGTGACCTTTATTCTGTTGCTAGGTGGAAATTAACCCTAATATATGCATATATGCGTGTTTAGGCTATCTGCTTTCGTCACAGTCACATATATTATACTCCATTGCAATTAGATTTCTTTCCAATTCATTATGCATGCTGGCCAGTTGTGAATGCCACAAAAGCAGAGAACAAAATAACAAAAGCCGTTTTCAGCACATTAGGCTCCATGCATCACATCCGGGCAATTGCAAACATTCCCACCTGAGAGATGCCTCTTGGGACTACCAGACCCACTTAAAAGCAGGTTTCTGAGAACAACACCAGCAGTTACAGCCCAGCATGCCACCAACCATCACACAGAGTGCTGCTTCTGCCACCACCACTGTTGTGGCCATCACTACCATGACCATCACCGACTCCTCGCTATATGACCGCACCTCTCAATGACCAGGCTTGACTAACCACCTCGACTGTCCAGCTTCATGTTGATAACATCTCAGCCTTGTCACCTCAGCAAACACAAGCCACAAGCATCCAACTATCCAGCTTTGATCCCACCCACCTACAAGCTTTCATCAACAACGCTGTCACCTTGGCAAATACCAACATAATAACATCTCAACTTCGACTCCACCCAGCTACAAACCCTCATCGCTGACAACACTGTCACCCCATACAAATACTGATAACATCTCCATGTTGGCACCACCAAGCTACAAATCTCCCTAACTGCCAACACCATCACCTCAGCAAATCCGACTCCGAGAAACAAGCGACTCCACAACCAAGCAACTCCAACTCTGCAAGGAAGCAACATGTGAACATGCAACCCACCAATGTGACGCCAATCCACTAACACATGCAAGGGCATTCCATAGAACAGAACTACCAACCACGCAAGTCCGACCTCACCTGCATCCCACAGAACAGGCCTGCCAACAGTAACACCATGACCTCAAACAACCAACACGCATCGACCATATCCAGTGACCTCTCACCAAACCCACACAAGAATTAGGTCAACTCCTAGTGCTACACTTACATCTGACCGCCATCCTGACAACTGGCCACTGAAACGGACATTCCACCCATCCTTCAACATTTCTGTATGACATGCCAACAATAAATGTTGTTCAAATCTAATCCTCATTATTTTTTTCAATACCAAACACCTCATATAACACATACCGATAATTAAACATTAAAAAATCCCCCATTACACACACATCCACATTTCATTAAATAATTGCATATTTAGTTATTAATATATCACAACAATTATTCAAGTAACAGATGCTCCAAACTATAAACAGTAATATTACTAAAATTTTAAACCATCAATATTTCTTACTGTACAAACAGTAACCATTTCATATTTCAAGATTATTTAAGTTAATAACATCAAAAATTGATTTAAGGCAAATTTGAAAACATTGACAAATTGCATCAGAGGAAAAAATTATTACAGGAACAACATGAGACCAAAATATTATAAAAAATTTTAAATAGTTTCCTCCTAATAGATTATCTTCTAATAAAAAATAAAAAAATTTGATGCAAAATTCTATTGTATATATTTAAATTCTCACAAAATATAGTCTTCAAAGTTTTTCATTAGAAAGCCATAGGTTACTGTGGATAAAATTTGCTGATACAAAAGTAGCCATAATTTCTTAATTTTTAATATTTACTTTTTGTTGGAATAAATAATAAGAAAACTCATAGCCTCTAGGCAACAAGAACTGTGCTCTAACCACTAAGCCAAGAGGCAGTCAAATAATTTAAGTGAAAGAAAGCAACCATCCTTTTAAAATTATTGCAAATATGTGGTTATGTGTTATCTTGTCTTTAAATATTAAAGTACACTTTGCGAATGTACCGGAAAGTAACCTTTAACCCATGACACATAATTCACAATATATTTTCTCTTCAAGTAAACTTTTTTGCTAAGATGATTTCTATTTGAAAAGAAAAATATAAAAATGAAGATAAAAGCACAAAAAACAAAATTGTACTTAACAAATACATGAATTTATAAGAGTAATACTTACTTCATATCTACACAACAAGCACCAAACTCTGGCCAAGAAGTTTTCAAATTTTGGGTCATCTCGACAGTTTAAACTGTAAAGTTGTTCCTGAAATAAATAGAAAATTGAATATGGTTCTTAAAAAATCATTATATATATATATATATATATATATATATATATATATATATACACTTTTAATACATGTGTGTAGGTGTGTCCTATTGAACAGAACAAACAAGTGAGCTTTTAGATAAGTTTCTCCTGATATCAAATTATTTGTTTAATTTCAGGTAGAAACATGAAAATATATTTGCCAAAATTAAAGGTTGAGATCCAAGTAAAAAAGAAAAGTTCAGAAATCACTTGTGTGGTATTTGTATTGTCAATTTGAAGCTTGAAAGGCATTTTAACACATGAACACCAAGATTAAATACAAATAGCAGGTTACTTTCTTTTAATGAAAATGTCATCAATCATTTTTTTGCAGTTAGAATGACAGAATTATTGTATTTTTTTACCAAAAACAGACAGAAATTAACAATGGATTTGTGTTATATTTTTGAACATACAGATTATAACTGACAATACAAAAGTTTCATCACTAACTGAAAAATATGATTTATAGATTTCATTCATACTTAGATAAAAAAAAAAAATTTATTTTATAAATAACATTTAAAGAAATATAAAAATTACTATTTAAGAATAATAGCTTATGGTCAGCAGGTAGGATGAAACATTATAGTGGGCTGGATTTGACTTTGGGCTGTTTTCTACAATTTATTATTAATGAGAGAATGTAATACTAAAAAACATGTTTGTATATAACCAATATATGATTAATATAACCATTATAGTTAATTTCTTTTTAAATCTAAAAAATTTTTTCACTTATGTTAATGAACAAATCTTATATTTTAGAATACGGACATATGTCTGAGGTTATATTAACTTTTACCAGATAAAATACCTATGAAAGATTTTATGACTAGAAAAAATAATCTGCTGTAATAAGTTCTTAAGAGTCATTTTCAAAAAGGCATTATGCCTGCAAACATTGACTGACTCACTAAAACAACTATAAAATTTAAAATCAGATATGACACTACATTCATTTATTTATCCCTCTAAAGTACTTTTTATCAAATGCAATCCAAATATAGTAAAAAATATAGTCATCTCTTGACTAACCATATACTAACAATCTAAATAAAGTGCAGTGTATGTGTGTCCATTTGTTTTTCAATCTCGAGATTTACACATACGTGTCAAATAAAGACAGTGGTGAATGCATAATATGCACTCTCACTCACTGGCCCACTCACCTTCATTCAAACACTAATTATGAGAACAGTGAAAGTATTAATATTTATCAATTATTTACAGCATTATTATTTTTTTACTAACCTAAAGTCAACCCAAAATGTATATAAAGTACAGTATACATAGGTCCGTCCATCTGTTTTTTAATCTCGACAAATCATAAACAAGTTATACGTGATTAAAAATTAAATAACTCATTTAAAGTTAAATTCAAATATCAAACAAAGTGAAAGGTTTAAAAAACAATTCTTTATTAAATGCTTAACTTTAATTTCGCTTTTCGTCACAATTGCAATTGATATCATCTAATTAAGCTGTAATTAAAATTTAATTGGGGCACAGTACGTTTCTCAAATGTTTTTTTTCTTTTTCTAGCACATGTACTGTGACATATTCGAAATATTACATAGTTCAGGTTACTTAATGTTGTTTAAGATTGACTTTATGTGAAGGGATCATAAAGAATAAGATGTTAAATAAAGATAAAATAATTTTATTATTTCTAAACTTTTATAACTTTTATGTACATAGGACGCTGAAGGTAAAAGACCAAAGGCCCAAAAGTTCTCTGCAGCCTAAATTCTACCCGTGTCTTGTTGGCTAGTATTAAATACTTCAAGTGAATGGGCAAGAGGGAGCTATTATAAAACTACTTGTCAGTACTGAGTTAAGTTAAGAGAGTTAGTTATATTTACTCAATTCTAATTTCTTAACAAAAGGGAGAAAAAAAATCTAGACTGAACTTCCAAAGTTCACACCATCAATTCTCATTTAAATGTAAAGAGATAAAATAATAATCACTTACCAGTTTGTGAAAGTGTGATGTGCTGATCTTCTGTTTCTCATTGTTGTATCTCAAAACTGTCACATCATTATCTGTATGAACCTCAACTTGGGCTAATCGAGGAGCAGGTACTTTCATTACAACAGGATAACACATGACTTTGCGCTTAATAGGACTTGCAGGAGTGGGTACTTCTGCAAAAACAAATAAGATAATCATTAATGGAAATCAAAAATGGTGAAGATTGGAAGAGTCTATCAGGTGTGAATGGAGCAAAGAGATAACAATACTCACATATTGAATTGGTCAAAAAGTTTCTGTTTTTGTAGTTAGATAGCATTGGAGTGTTATGTTTTAACTTCATTCAAAAAGGTTACTTTTGATAGCTGTCATATCAGCATATTTTTACTTGTCAAAGTTAGCATTTTTTGTTTATTAATTTTAACATTGGCAATTTTGGACATATTTATGTTTCTCTTTTTTAGCAAATGTAAAAAACTGAAACATTAAAAAAAGATTTGTTTGTGCAATTCACGGAGAAGGTAATATCAATGATTGAACAAGTTAAAAGTGATTTGTAACATTTGGTACCAGAAACTTCTCAAGAACGCTTTATGATTGGGAAAACCAGTTGAGGGTGATAGTAGCCAAATCAAAACATTACTTGATACTAATACCATATGATGCAAAAGAGAGCTAACAAAATATCCAAATCAAGCATTGAAAATCATTTGCATGAACCTTATGTTAGACAATTCTATGTGTGTTTTTTATTAAATATAAAAATTACTGGATTACATTACCATATTCATTACAACTAATTGAAACAAGTTTCTATTATCAATTAGACTAATTGAAGACAGCAACAAATGAAATGCATATGGAATTAGTTAATAGAAAGGGGATAATATTACATTACATAAATACCAGATTGAATATTTCTTTAAAGTATAGTCAAAAGACGTTTTCATTCATTCACTGTATTCACCAGAGATTGACCCTTTTAATTACCATTTCTTTCAATCTTTACAGAATTCTCTTAAGAAAAAAAAAAATCAATTCTCATGGAAAGTGCAAAAGGCACCTAGATCAGTTCTTCACTGACAAAGATAAAATGTTCTTGGAGGATGGAATTATAAAGGTAGTTGAAAAGAAGGCAGATAAAAGTGAAAGAAAACAGTAACTAACATGCAACATGTTGCAGTAGCAACAAGAAATAATCCTTATCCTAACTTACATATGCACACACACACACACACAAGTAATAATAATAATAATACAAATCAATAACAGCTACCAAAACATATAAAAATTACTAGAATTTAACATATTTTAAGGCCAGCAGAGTTTGTCGGAGTTACCTCCTCCTTCTATCCTTGAACCGGCAAAGGAACAGGTCATTTCGACCTTGACCTCTCATTCATGCTCCTTACACACTGTTAAACACGTCGGAGGGACTAGCAAATCCCCTTTTTAGTTAGGTTATATTACAAACCCAGTTGTAATATACTACTAGTCATTTTTAGACCTTAGTTCTCTTTAGCTAACCTCGTAGTATTTTATTATAGAGACTTTTCAGTTAGCTTAGCCAATTTCTCTTGCTGGTCTCCCTTGTCACAAGAAAGTGATTTCTCGCTAAATTCTGGGAGGCGACCGAAACGGTCGGCTACGCAAGCCCCTTGGCCTTCATTGGCTGTGTATTAAGTTACGCTCCATTTTTTTTGTCTGCCAACTTGATGATAGTTGGGAACTTTCTCTCTCTCTCTCTCCTTCCCAACACGTCAAGTTGGCATCCCGGCAATGACAAACAACAAGTTGGCAACACGAACTACAGCAACAAGTTGGCACCCTGGCAACGACAAACATGTCAAGTTGACACCCCGGCAGCGACTCAGCTTCAACAACCACCAAGCGATCATCCTGGCAACAACTCACATCAGCTTCAACCCCCAACAACGATGATCCTAGCAACTACCAACACCAACCTTGACCATCAATGCCTGCACTAAAACTTCTGCACCTCCACCATTCCGACCATCTTTATTTCCTTTTTCTTTCCCTGAATAAATTAGCATTTATCATACATATCCTCGTTCTGTCGTCTATATTGTTTCACCGTCAGATTTAACGTCTTCAAAAATGTCAGCGGGCCTCTTGTGACCTCGTTCCCCCCTTTCTGTGATATGGGGCTGCACGGAGTGCCCACTACAAGTTTTTGTTAAGAGAGTGCTCAAAAGATAATTAAAGCAACAATAGCCAATTAATAATTGTTCAAGCAACTTATCTCTTGATTAATTACACACACAAGGGTGTGCCCAAAATTTCTCAATCCAACCAAAAATATAAGCTACCAAAAATACTGATATTTGTTTATTTGGACAGCAGTCCAACAGTCATGCACAAACACCCATCACACACACATATATATATCAGACATATAAAACTGACACACACATATTTGGTAGAAAGAAAACATTGTTTGTAAATGTAATTTTTATGACACATTGATAATGTAATATTTAATTACCTGTGAAAATATTGTTTCAAAACAAAAATATCAAACAATAGCATATATTGAGTTTAACTGAATTTTTTTTAAAGAAATTAAAATATATAATTTTAATGCAAATCTTGTACATCTTTTAAAAATCTATTAAGACAAATGGTCTGGTATCATAAAATACTTCGGTTTAAAAATGGATCTAAGATGGCATTCTTATAATTATGCTTGTATACAGTTCAGCTATGTTAGCGCATTGTTAATTATATTGTTTTGACCAATCAGAAGGCCCGCAGTAATTAAGAAATGTAATTTTGTGTTTATAATACAGCTGTAATTATAAAGTACAGAAGACCAGCAAGAATAAAATTAGGTTGCGTTATTTGAGTTAAGCATTGTTCTCCAATGTTAAGGCCTTTATTTTGCGAAACATGTGTGGAGAAGTTAATTTGATTTTTCAATTTCAACTGAGAAGGGTACCTACAAGTATCAGTATCATCTTATGAAATTTAAATTTCTATTTTATGTACACTTCTGATAAAATTTCATAAGAAAGATACCTATAAATTAATTAGATACCTTTCTTATGAAATTTAATCTCACTCTCAACAGTCTTATTTTAATTTCTTTATAATATATTTTCCATAAAGCATCGTAAACGTAAAGGTGAAAGGTAAGTACAAAAAAATATTAGAGCGCTGAAAGTTTTCCTTAAAAATAACAAGGTAAATAATTTGTTCACTTAAATCTAAATAATTTCACTTCTCTCCTTCCATAGAATAAACTATCCTCACATAAGCTGTCAATACGTCTCATCACCTGTCAAAGTGACGCGAAATGTTATGACCTGCTTTGTTTTATTTTCAAACTACATTTTTTTGGCACAGAAACTAAGTAATGCTTGTTTCAAAATATTTTAAATAAACATTATAATTTCTGATTTTCTTAAAATAAGTTTTGAAAAAATTATAATTGATTTTTAAAAGAATTTGAAACTGAGATTTAATTTTTTTTTATAAAATGGAAAAAAATGGTTGACATGATTGATTATCTGTCACTTCTGCTGACTAAAATAAACAAGATTTTTAACAAAAATTTTGGACGTGCTAGGAACGATTAAAAAATGTAAAAAAATACCCCCAAAATACTTTGATCTTTCCTCTTAATAATAACATAAACATTTAGACAATAAAGTTTTGTTTTCATCAAGTTTGGCATCTTTTTCGTCATGCTGTGCTCTTTTTTAGCTATCTCACAGAGGTACCTACACTAACAAAATTACTATCAGTTTCTCACTTTACAAAATAATTTAATATGTACAGAAAATTTTTTCTTGCTTTTAAATAATTCTATAAATACTGGGTCAGTATGCATTCCTAGTATGAACTATTTTTATTGTAAAAACAAACAATAACATGCAGTCATCAACAATAGCAACAAGAAACAATGTGCATAGTCAACAACAGGCTTAATTAATGATCAAAGAACAAAAGACACATTAATATAAACATTACCTTGAATGCCATGTTCCTTCAATAATTCCCAGTGTTTCTCGTGTAGCTTCTTAACTATATCACACGACAATTTGTAAACTTTGATGCAGATACCTTCCACTGAGGTCTTGGCTGCTTCTGTGAGGTGTGGTTGACATTGACGCTTCAGGTGGGCGAGACGTTCCTACACAATATAAGCATCAGTCAGTGTTAAATAACCAAAATGGAGTCAACAGCAATTAAATTTTAAAATGGAGTCAGTAGCAACCACATTTTAAAACTCTCTTCAAAAGTTTCAATGTTGTAACAAGGTTAAGGTTGTGTAAAGTGAAAATTTTAATTTCTGACAATATTTCAAAAAATAAATGCAAAAGATTTACAACAGAATTTTTTATTATAAAATGAGGAGACAAAAATATTCCCTCTATTAAATTACTGTTTTGATCACAAGAAATATATATAAATTCTAGCCAAGCTGAGTTGATAACTAGTGATCAAGCGATTAGAAAATGGATAGAGCACAACAAAAATAATTCTTCGCAAAGTAGTGTCCCCTGAATTACAAAAAATAAACTCAATATATTTGTTATAAATTTTTACAAAACAAAATTAAAAATCTAATGCTGATGTCATTAAGAAGTACAAAAATTTACATACTGCTTTTTATATAATTTTATAAAACAAATTGTTCAGATAATAATATAACTGATCTGAATTTCATATAAACATTGAATGTCACCCCCACATCATAACTACTACTACTGTTGTTGTTGATACAGTATATATTTTTAAAACTATTAATAATAGAAATAGTATTTTTAATTTAAAAATCAAACTTTATAAATAGTAACTTTTATAAAAACAACTTTTATTCATTTTCAAAGGCAAACTGCATTTAAATCACAGTATTAACTTTACAAAGCAAGTTTAGTTTATGTAACTAAAAATAGAATCTATTAAAATCTGACAAAAGACTGAAGATCTTTTCAATTCCATTGATTAAAAACCTTTTCTATAGGGTCTTTATTGTAAGAATGCCATTTGATAAATGACAAGGAACATACCAATCAAAATAATGTGAAGGAAAATATGAAACAATAGTGTAAAAATAATTATATCCATAAAATATAACAAACATATTTTGAGAATGTAGATAAAATTATATATATATATATATATAAAAACATGAATTCTATAACATGGTCAGTTTCAATTCAGAAGTAATTGCATATTTCCCACTAGTGTTAAAAATAAAAGTCTGCGTGTTGCACATTAATTTAGAAAGCAAGTCATTCAAAATCTCCTACATCCTCTCCTCCAGCTTCATAAATATCAATGCTGGAATAGAATATATGTATTATAAAAAAAACTTTGAAGACACAATCATTTATTAAGTGAACTATCTAAACTTTTCGAAAGATGGTGAAATGTTAATGGGACTTGATACAAATCAGAAGTAACTGACCTATGATTAAACTATTGGATTTAAAGGACATTATTTCTTGAAATATAATCACAAATAAAGCAACTACCTTACTTTGTCATTCTTTACACTTTTTCAAAAACTATATCTCAGTTACACTCTTTGCTTGACTTAAAGTAATAAGAGAAACTTTAAATCAAATGAATATATAGTGAAGATATTGAGTAGAAAATTATTAGATTTAATACCTACCAGATATTCTTCAAAAGTGGCACTGTGCGGCTTACGAAGCCAGGCAAACATGTCTTCAACATTCCATTTAACAACTTTTCTACTGTCAGAAGTGGCATTTCTGCAACACAAATGTAACAATAAATATATGAAATGATTTGTTCATTATTTGCTTGTGGTAAAGTAGAAAATGACAGTACAAACTTTGTAAGAAAGCCTACTCAATGGAAAAGATTTAATTTTTGTCTGTAAATAGTGTAAATAATGGAAAAGATCTATACTGAAACTGTCATATAGAAAATTCTCTACAATAACCCACTTAGCAATAAGAAATGATCAATAATAAAATAGACTGAATATTAATAGATGTGGTATTTGTTAACAATTCAAGATTGCATGATTTCTGTAGATTCTTTTAATAAGAGACTTGGGATTTCAAGTCAACAGATGCACACCAACTAGATGTTCAAGTTGTGTCTGTTTTATATGAAATCTGGCCTCCAAGTATATTGACAATATTTTGGTAGCAGAACTAGCATACAAGTTTATAAATTAACCATAATAAAATATGTTATATGCTAAGTCTGATATCAGATTTCTTGTTTTTGTTTCTTTGTATTTAAAAATTTACACAATTGCAAAGTCCTCTGAAATTGAAACTTGTGCTCTATCATTCAACATGCTCAGTCTTAGTAAATACCAGGTTTAACAGTCGTAGTACCAGGTGTAACAGCAACATTGTCCAAATCATGTAAAAGCAAAATTGTTCAATTTAAATCATTGTATCTTAGAAATGATTAAAAATATCTTACTGGAATTTTCTGAGGTTTTTATAACACTATTGGATTCTACTTTGAGCAATAAGAATGTATAATTACTCTCCAGGCTTAACAGAAGAATCATGATGAAATTGATCATAAACAAAAATGACATGTTCATGATTAATTAATCATAGCTAAGGATCAGAAGCCTATGAAGGATTTAAATAAAGTTCAAATATATATCTATTATTCCAGGATCATTTTTCAACTTATTCAAAATGATCTTTGCCCTCTCTAACCTTCTAACTTTCCATTCTGGAGTAACAAAGTACCTCACAGGTTTCATGCACAATTTCATTTTCAAATTTTTTTTCACTGCTCCTTGGACTGTCATAGTTGAAACTCCTTTCTCATGTACCAAATTTCTTATAGATTGAGTTGGATCTTTTCTAATTGATCTCTTTAGCTGTAAGTTGAAATGATGATCCTTCTTCCTGTTGTGACCTCCTGATCCAGTTTTCCTCTCTACTGTTTCCTCTTTTTAAAACTTATTCACAGTTCTCTTGATGATTCTTGAATGAACTTTGAACATAGAAGCAAGTGTATGAATGTTGGTACCATTACTGAAAGCCTGAATGATCTTTTTCCTCCCACCATTGCTCAGTTGGGAAGACAGTGGGTCTGACACAAAACGATTTTAACCTGTTCTTTTTCTAACTGAATAACTCTAAGGGTTTTACAGTGATTCTTATGAAAAATGGGGTCAAGATGGCTAAATGTCTTATCTGAAAATCTGAAAAAAAAAAAAAGAAACTCAATTTAGTGAATTTTTAGGTATGAAACATTTGGTATGATGGACAAATATGCTGTAACATGATTTGGACAATTTTGCTGTTACACCTGGTATATACCTATATATATATATATATATATATATATATATATATATATATATATATATATATATATATATATAATTGAATTAAGACTTATCTTCTTACATGCAATTCCCACAATCTAAATGATCTTTTAATATATATTTTCAAGGAATCTATTTCATTGGTAGTGAGAACTTGTATCATTTTGTGATTTTGATTATTTGAGAAATTTTAAATTTAAATACAGTGTAACCCGGATATAAGAGAGATTTTCTCTGGTCCCAAATTAGAGCCTGTGTTAATGTATATAAAATAGACCAAACCCGGATATAAGAGAAACCCGGATATAAGAGACTTCTTCTCCGGTCCCGACAACTCTCTTATTCTTATATCCAGGTTACACTGTATAAACCATATTTTTAGAATCAATGAACTTATCTGCTACATATTCCAGAAACCAGTTTTCAATTCCCAATTCCCCAATCTTCTGTTTTACTACTGGCAGCTTTTTCTTAGGATAACAGCCATTAACAATTAGAGCAAAAATATAAATGCAAGCATATATATTTTCATATACAGAATCACATTTTTAAGAACAATCTACAAAGATTGAATTCAGTCACAACAATGTCAAACAAACATACTAGTATTGCACTATAAATTAATCATACAATCATTCAATATTTTAATTAGTCTCTCTCTTTCATCATTTGCTATTTTGCTACACATATACAGGAGAATATTTCACAAATAAGTGGAGGTATAAATAAAACAACACTGCTTAAATTTTCAGTCAATGTTAAAAAGTTCAAACTATAGAAATCAGTTACTTTTTTCCAATTAAACCGTGTCTGTCAAACAATTTTAAAACAAAAGATAAAAGTATTTAAGAAAACATCCTTAAAAAGTAAAAATAATTAGATTCACAGCTGAATAAAATTTTTATTAAAACTATATTTATCAATTCTGAATTGCTCTTATAACCTGTACAATAAAATGTACATGAGCATCTATTACTACTTATATATTTAACTTTTGCTATATTAAGACAGGAAGTTAATTTTATGACAGGTGATGGTGATAATCAGAACAAAAATGAGAAAACAATATTAAAATTGTGTGTTATTCTTACTTGAATTCAATCATCTTTTTGGCTGCTTCAGCATATTTAGAAAGTTGTATTTTGACGTCCCCAGAATATATGGGGTCATGCAGCTTGACTGGGATATCATTCATAATCTCTCGATACATTGACTGTGACACTTCTGGGACACAATTGCTTGGTAACATTGGATCATGTCCTTGGTCACGCACTTTCCTTTCCATTAACCAACGATTAAAGGATTCAGTTGGAGCATCAATTCCTAAATTGAAGAAACAATAGAAACAATAGTTATCACAAACATAATCAAGTGATTTATATATTTTACTACAGAAAAATATTATTTGCAATTTTAAATAGTGATTTATAACTTTATGAAAAATCTATTATCATTACAATTTAAGAACTTCATAAAACAGAATAGAAAAAAGAAATATAAAGTAATAGAAAATAGAAAATATAAAGATTTTTCCAGTATTACATATACCAGTAGGTGGTACAGTTAAGCATATTAATATATAAATTTTTATTAGGAGAGATTTTGAACAGTAGAATTTAATAGTAAGTTGCATAGTTAGATATAAGAATTTTCACTACACTCATCTCAAAGGATAATTTCAGACTGTGTAGAAAAATAACAGTAGAATAATTCAATAAAATGATATATTACAAAGTACTTTAATTGAAAGTTATGAAGAACAATAAACAGTAAATATAAATCAATTAAAGAAGATACCAATAATATATATTGAGACTACAGAAAAAATATTTGAAAGTGATAAATTTACAGAAAACCATAATACTAAAGTCATTTTGTATTCATGAAGGGGTGTAGAAGAGACCAACCAAGTTTCAAAATGTTTTCCTGCGATATACTTGCTGTATGCAATCTTGCATTGTCAAAAACAACATTTTTCCTTTAATCCAGTGTGCATGCTGCTACTGCCATACAAAAACTAAGGTATATTAGAGTACTCCAAATTTATACATAACTGCCACAGTTGATTAGTAGTTAGAAAGATATATTCAGCATGACATTGGTACTCCAAAAAGAAATTAATTATGACTCAACCTAGTACATTTTATGGTAAAATTTCGTTATGAAGAAGGGATTATAAAAGAGCAGAATACATACAGAATAAAGTTGGTAATTTACCTTCTCGTGTGCTACAAAGTTCCTGATAATGTAACCTCAGTTTGTTGACAAGCTGAGCACGTTGGAGTTCAACTTCAGGTAGAACAGGAGGCAGTGAACATGGAGCTCGTTCATAGATGACCACATTGGAGGTGATGTCAAAGTTCCAAAATGGACTAATGGAGAACAAGATAAAATTAAAAAGATATAGGCACACAAAAGGATTAAAAGTGATTATAAACCTTATCATTTTGCTGAGATATAAATAAACAAGCAATGATGTACATGTATTGTGCTTTGGCATGAGGTAATGGTTAGTGTGATAGTCTGGTTGACTATTACTACTGAGTTCTGAAGTTCAATCCTCACTAGATTCTCCATACTTGTGGCCTTGTGACTAACTAAACTAAGCTTATTAAATGTTAGTAACAATGTTTGTCCTTAGTCCTATATATACATAGGATTAACAATTTAAACACTACCTTAAACCATATTCTGTTCAAGAGGATATAGTTAGTAAATACCTTGATAAATGCTTGCAAGTTCATGCATTCTATTTTTCTTTTCTCCTTTTCATTTCTTGTTTTTTTCACAACACAAAAATACCTGCTAATATTTAATATTTCTGAGAATTATTTTTGATTTTACTTATAAAATACTATTAAAGAAAGTATTCCACAGGTTACAAAACATCTATTATTTTTAATAATATGAAAAACATAATACCGGTTGTCATTTTAAGAAATAAAGTCTCACACTTATACCATTATTGATAGAAAAATGGTGAGATAGTATTATGATAGAAGCAAAGAAAAAATGACAATGATGTAACTAAAGAATAATTAATTTTGAAAAATTACATAACTAATGAAGATACTGATTTGCATACTTCTAATATAGGATAGCAGGCAATTTTAATATTTCAATATGTATACAAATATACAGTAGAATTATTTTTAAAAGAAAGGATAATTTTAAATAAACAATTAGAAATGGAAAGTTAACAGTAACTTACCGGTAAGTGAAAGATATTCGCTTTGAAGGACTAGCAACCATTTCTGAGCTGGCTCTCCTCTTTTCTCCAACATGTGGCTGCAAGGGAGGAGCATGTTGTGGGAGCCCTGTGTCTGTGCTCACTGACCGCCCTAAATGTACTTGGCTGCTGGGGGAAAACATTCCACTAGAGGATGGGTTGCTTATCCCCAAAGGATCAGTCAATGGATCTGGCTGAAAAAATAAATTAACAAGAAATGTTGCTTTATATCAAGCTTCTATATAGCTATTTTTTTTGTCCTCAAAGACAGACAATAATATTTTAGAGGACTACATCCAATTTAGAGCCAGTCAGTTATGTGCCATGCATGATACACACTTAGGTGATCATGTATCTTTCAATATATGACTGATGAAGCAGAATTTTTTTCCTGCAGTAGGTTGCCATTTATTTCTGCAGTAAACATGTTGCCATCCATAGCTATAGAATCTGGTCTGTCCTGCTATTTACCCATAGCTGGGGGGAAAAGAAGAGGATTCATACTTTTCCCAAGAGTATTAACACATAAGCGAATCTAATGGATCTGACTGGAATTTGAACTCAGCTCTCAGATTCCTCAATCCAAGCCACTATCCATTACTCCACTGTAAAACAAATATTACTAGGGATGTGAAATCTTTCCAAAATGAACGGGTTCTCAGCCAGTTGTGGTCTGCAAACCGATTCCTCAGGTTAGGAAACACCATAATCATTAGTTCCTTTAAATCAGATACCATATGTCCAAAAGGCAAACAAGCCCGGCCATCCTGCTCGCCAACCAAAGTGCCATTACCAACATCCAATAGTTGCTTTGAAAAACTACCGGCTTCCTCATCAACACTGAGCTGCAATCTCATGTCGGTTGTGAGTTTCAGATTTTTCATGCTGCTCCACAGGTAGGAAGACTTTATACTGGCATTTACCTCGTTAGCTCTCAGAAGAGTTTATCAAAAGTTTCCCATGAGCCAAATGTCTAAAATCCTGAAGTGCCATGTCAAGAGCTTCGAAGGAACCCTTATGAATCAGTGTCGTCACATCCCAGATGATCAATTTGCAATCACTGAGAAGTTTGCCTTTTATAGAACCACAACTGATGTTGCAGGTTGCCTTCTCTTTCTTGGACAGGTCCAAAGGGAGTTTGAAGCATGAATGAGCTGTGCAGCCATCCTTTAGCAGGGTTGCAGCTATTCCACTTGATGCCACTGCTAGTGCAATATGTCTCATTTGGCACAGTTTAGTCAGAACTAAGTTGCTGATAAATGTCTTGCCAGGTCCACCTTGAGCATTGAGGAAGAATAGATCTCCTTTTCCACAGTCAATGCTCAAAATAATTGTGTTATAAACACCATCAATTTGTCTTCATTATGAGCTATATACACCGTCATTTCCTCGGGGTCATAGCTGATCTCCCACATGTACTCAATTGCAAGATTGTTTGCTGCCTGCTCAGGTTGAGGTAGGCCAAATGTGGCAATTCTTTGGCCTCCCATAGCTTGCACTCAGGTGTCCAGGTCAACTAATGCTTCATTTGCCTTTGTATCCTTTGTAAGATGTCCCCTGCCATGCTGGTTTTGTGGGTCATCCAAAGCTTGAGAGGTTTACCCAAGCCACATGTCATCAACATGATGGAAAATAGCTGGCACAGTTGACTTGGTTGCTCTGCTGACTCCTCCAGTGTCTGGTCCCAGTGGGCATTGTCCTCCAGTAGTCCATATTTGACACAGGCTTCTCTGTAGGTTGTACAGACTTCTTCATTATATCTTTTGCAGGTCTGTTATTCCACTGACAACAACAACCACAATTATGGGTAGGTTGAAATATGAGCTTAGGTAAAGTTTCTATTTGAAAATAAGCTCACTTAAAATGTTATTTTACGTTTAAATGACTGAATGGATCGAGCCAATTTCTTTGTATGTAATAAATTCAAACCAAAGAAATTTAAGGATGCACATGGTGAAATTTGAAACAAATTAATTTTTTTGCAATGTAAACACACTACAGAGATTGTATTTAAAGAAAGATTATGCTGAATTAATGTGTTAAATAAAGATTTTATCTAGAAAATAAACTGCAATTTTTTCAGATGTTGTCCCTTAAATTTTTAAAATCAAACAAAAATTCATATTTGTCCAGAATTTTAATCTTTATAAGAGTTATTATTTCATAACACGTGTATCTCAATTGCTAGTTTGTGAGACCAATTATCTCCCTTGCTTAAACACGTGTAAAAACCTTTTAGCATAGACTTGGTGGTGAGCTGCAATCTAGGGGCCCCAGCAGTCCCTTCATATTTTTTTTATACAAAAACGATTAGCCTAGTAACAAACTGGATGTTAGTTTAACATGTATGCAAAGTTTCACGAATATTGGTTCCCAGATTCAGGTAGCAACTTGATTCCGACAAACAGACAGAAATTTATATATATATATATATATATATATATATATATATATAAAGAGAGAGAGAGATATGTTCAGAAAAAGGCATGAACCGAAAAATTCTTTTCATTTTGAGTAATAAAAATTTGTTTCTATTTTTAGATTTTTATGCTACACTGATAATCTTTAACACTTTCTGTAATCCAGTTAAAAAATCTGAATTTGGATTTTAAAAATTGTGCTTGCAACTTCATTGTGTGTCAGTATGTATGTCAAAGCTTGACTAATCTTAATTAGCATATCATTTTATTCCATATGTGCATACAAAGATTTGACTCACAAAAGTAGCTATTATTAAATCTTGTTATTAGCCTATCATTGAGATAGGGAAGAGTCATGCATTTTCTTTATGCAAACAAGTGTAAGATTTTACTCAAAAACAATTATTATTAAATGTAATTTTACACTTTAAAATGTAAAAATAATATTATAGTAGGTATATCTTAAGAAAAACAATACCTAAAGTTTAAAATGAATTTTTAAAAATTAAAAATCTCTTGAATCTTTTATTTTAGTTTTAATTTCAAGCTAATATATCAAATTTAATATTTTTAATAAACAAAATAAATACTTTGCTGTATTTCAAAACTAATTTAAATTGATTGGAATGAGTTTTTTTTATACTTGCTAAAAATAAAAGAATTTTTAAAAAAATCACTGATTTCAGACATATTTACAATTCTCTAAGCACAATGTAATTCTCTTTATTAAAAATCTTTCAAAAATAAAATATACTTTACTGAAACTTTGAGGAAGATTATCTGATTTTAAGTTTAATCAATCTGATTTAAAACAAATATTACATACTTTTAGTTTAAAATATTGCAGAAAGGCATTTTTTAACATAGAGGTGGGTGTTTTTATGAGGTGTTAACAGCTAAATGCTTGGGAAATGTAACTAATTTTTTCTATAGGGATATATCCATAAAAACTACTTGATGAATATAATGTGAGCTCCTTTTTTATATAATTTTTTAATGACCTAGTAATCTTAAAATTTAGGAAAATATTCTCAGTAATCTAATGTTTTATTAAATTTTAGATACTTTAGTTACTTACCACTCTTATTTTCTGATATTGTTGTGTATGGATGCCTGTATTTACAAAAGTCGGCACATTTATACACACACAAAAAAATTTAAAATTTCTTTTAAATACTGGGGGTTGCTGAATTGCACTAAGCTTTTCCATTTATGATTACTAAATATACTTTTTACTTAATAACAATATAACCTGTCCAGTATAAATTAATACAAAATTTTAAAAGATTTAAAATTTTATAAATTATTCTAATTAAAATTTTAAAAAATGAAAACAATTCTTGTAAAAATTCATTATTCATCGAAAAAAATTTTTTAAGACAATAGTGTCCATGATATATCTTATTCATAAAAACAATTAAAAGCTTTTCTAATTAAATAACATCTTAGTTTTATTGCATTTTTTATCTTACAATTCAAAGCAGATTTTCAGTAACTGGGAGATCTGTTTTAAAAAAAAATTGATGATTTAAATTCTCCAAAGACTTCTGCTTATAACTAATATAAACATTAAGCCATGCAAAAAGGAATTTCCCAAAATTTCATAAAATTAAATAAGTGGAAGATAACAGATGTAAAAAAAAAAAAAAATTTTACAAAGATTTTCTACAAAAGAAACATTTCTAAAATAATTTTATTCAATTGCAAATAAGTCCTGAAAGTTTCATTAAAATTTGACAATTATTTGATTCTTGCAAGAATTTCCAAGAATATTTTAACACAAAAAGATGCTAAAATTTCCTATACTAATTTATAGTCACCCCTTGACGCAAGAAAAAAGATTTTTAGCCAAAATTTTGAAGGTTTGAAAAAGGATTAAAAAATATAATTTAATAATTAAAAAGATCCTTTGGTCTTTTCTCTTAATAGCAAACATTTTGACAATAAAATTTTGTTTGTAATAAGTTTGGAGCATTTATTTCATCATGTATGCTCATTTTTAGGGAATCTGGGTAGATACTTATAGCAATTTAAAAAATACAAAAAGAAATTAAGAAAAAATGGTTTTAAAGTATATACTAATAATATATCTTCAACAAAATAATTTCCAAAATAATATTGATAAAATTAAGATTTTAACAGTATTAGAATCAAGAAACGACCAAGGTAGGACCTAAATTAAAAGCATTTTCCCCATTTTATGAGTTTAGTAGTTGGAAAAATTCATAATTAGCCAATGATAATGTAAGAGGAAAATTAACTTCAGCATAAAATGAACTATACAGAACAATTTTTGTTTAAAAACTCACCTGTCCAGAAAGTGGCATCTCCCATAGAGACTCATTAGTGATCTTATTAAAAAAGTACGGACGATTTTCCCGTTTGCTCCAGAATTTTCGCCATCCAGCCTGGAGCAATTCAACAGGTAAGTCATGAACAGGGTCAGGCGACATGGGCTGGGGTGACATGGGAAATGCATGATTCTGGGGTGAGTGCAATGAGGCAGGCAATGAATTTTGATGGTTGAATGGTGGATGTGTTGAGGGTGCAGCTATTGTGGTAGGGGTTGGGGTAGTTGACATAGTGGTGGTGTTTGTGGTGGTGGTGGTGTTGCTACTGCTGCTCTCACTACTACCACTGCTGTTATTGTTATTATTAAGGGAAGCAGTAGTATGAGCTAGGGAAATTGTGACAGTACTTGCAGCAGAAGGTGAAGATGAAGAAGACAGTAATTGTCCATGATTGGTGGTTGGGTCTTGCACTGCGGCTGTCTCTAGCACTGACTCTAACCTGGTTGTTGATGATGACGACATAGTAATGGTAGAAGTGATACCAATAGTGGGGATGGTGGATCCAGGTTTGGTGTTGTTGCTTGATATTTTTTTGCCTTTAGCCATCTCAGAAATTTCAAAAGAATTCAAGTCCTCAGTCTGTTTGCTGGATTCTGCCATACTGCATGCACCATTCAGGAATTTCTGAAAAAGAAAAGTCAATATTTTCAATAGTACAGTCAATAAATAGCTTTACATAAAAAAATATTTACTGCTAGGCACAAAAAAGTTAATTTGAGATTACAGGTGCATTTTTGTTACATCAAAGAAGGTTTAAATAAAATCTATGTACATGTATAAGTTTTATAAAAATTGAATATCATGGATCTTGCATTTTATTGAATCAATAACAATAATAGTATGAAATATTACCATACAGTGCTACTTTTTAGCAAACTGTAATCTGGGATTAGAATGAATGTAAACCAATCTTTGAGTAAATAATGACATAGATGAGATTACTGGAATCAAGTGAGTATAATTTTAACACAATTATGAGACAAACATGTATGAACATTGTTCCTTTACTGAACTAAATTAATCTTGTATTAATTCCACTGAATATGTAAACTGAAGTAATATTTAACCTTTCTTTCTGAGCGTTCATTTTGCATTCAGTGCTTCTTTGCTGCTTCTATGAACACTTCATCATAATACACACTGACAACCCTTTTTTTTTAACCATTTGTGAGTAGCTAGCATATCTTGCAAGAAATTTTTTCTTGAAATAAATGAAATATATTAAGAAAATTTTTATTTTTTTTTTTATTTGGATCTTCTTATTCTGGCAGTAAATCAGTTATTCATAGATGGCAATCATTGTAAAGAAAACAATAATTGTCCTGAAGTAGGTGATGTGATATTTCATTGATAGTCATCACACAAAAATATCCCAGTTACTACTGGTTAATAATAATAAAAGGAAAACAAACATCTAAGTGAGACCTATCAGTATTATAATAATGCAACTGCAATCAAAACACCAATCATTTTCAATTTAGAGATAAATGTATTTAAATTTAAATACCAATTTTAAATGCTGGAAAAAGAAAGAAAAAAACAGTTACATATCCTCAAGATGTTGTCAGCTGATATTAGGTTTCATTTTTTGTTAATATTTACCATTTTGCTGTTATTGTGATGTAAATTTTATTTACCATATATCTTCATGAAGTATATATTTTCAGTCATATTAAACTGCTGATTTTATGAATTCCACAAAAATATAATTTTAAAATTTTTACACACACAGAAGAGTGCATACAGCACTGAGCAGATTTCCTATTGCATTTAATAGCTGGATTTCATAACATTCTAAAATCTATATAAGATTGAAAACAGTAACTTCTACCGAAAATATATATTTAATATATACACAATATAGTTTAAACCATATGTATGTATTTAATGTAAGCATGCATGATGATATTGAGGAAAAAATTAAGTTCTTCAATATCTTGAATATTGCAAACAGGAAGTCAATTTATTAGCAGTAACATATCTGATATTTCCATATAGAAAATTAGTTAACTTATATGCAGTTAAGTATAACAAATAGAAATAGAATATACAAAAATACATTAACACAACAGATTTACAAATGTATACATATAGATACATGCAAATTCTCTACACTTGCATAAACATTATTATACATCAGCACTAACACACCTCAAATACCTTCTCACAAAGAAAACTTCAGACATTAATGCCTTTTTCTTTATAGAAATGGAATATCAGTGATTATTTTTAGAGTCAGTTCAACAGGCAACAATGTACATACTTATAGTACAATAGGATATTCTCTAATTTTTTACAGAAGAGACAAGTATTTATTATAAGCATAACAACTATACTATTATTCTGCTTGCTTGTATGTACAACCATTATACTTTTCTATCTAGGATCAGAATGTAGTATACATACTGTTATGAATAATCAAGAGTGGTCTCCCCTCATTTTGTTACTTTCGTCTTTGAGAGAGCTATTTTTGTTTACTGGGACTATAAAAGGACACTATACACAAACCTTGTATTCTCAGTTGAATAAAGCTTTCTTAAAGCCTACACCTGCATACATTTGTCATTACACATACCTCCACTAAAAGGTTTAAATTAATTTTTAAAAATGTAAAAGCTTTCTTGAAGCTTTCATTTTAGCTTTAATTGAAAGCTAAAGGATTAAATTTACTATTTCCAGTAATATATAGTAATATTACTTACCGATCAGGTCAATGTTATTATACTATAAATAGGAAGTTTAACTGTATTGTAAGGTGAACTGTCTACAGTTGACAGCTCGCTTCTTTTATTTAATAAAGAATTCTTATCTTCAAATCTAATTATTGCCAACTTTTTATTAAGGCATAGGAAACATGCTTCAAAAGAATTATAAGTTCTAGCTTTTTTAAGGATTTTCCATTTTACTTTAGGTGTCATGTTTCCTATTTCTTCTACTACTGATTCACTACTTCCCTTCTTCTCTCCCCTCTCCCTTCCCACCTTGTCAGGCTTTAGCAAGTTGAACTTATGGCCAATGCTCGCTGATATTGATATCGAGTGTAGACAGATTTATTGGTAGATTTATCCCCTGCTTTCATCCTGATAGTTTATATTCTTATGTTAGTTTATTGAGTTAAGACCCA